TCTCTCTCTCTCTCTCTCTCTCTCTCTCTCTCTCTCTCTCTCTCTCTTTCTCTCTCTCTCCCTGCGAAACGCAGAAAGAATTGTTTTACGCGAACTCGTTCGCTCGTCTCCCCTTATTGAGATGCATCCGGTGCCACCTCTCACCACTTCCTGGATGCTGCGTGGGATTTTCGTGTCCCGAAACGCTGCAGCGTACTACCACACCGATACGGTGGCGAGCCGAGTTTCCTTTCGCCGGATGACGAAGCAAAATAAAACCCGCATCAAGATATCGAAGATTGTGAGAATTACAGATCGAAGATTAGAACTTGACCGGTCAGAGAAAAGCCAGGCAATCGATTGAAATTAGTTGATTCATCAAACTCTAATCTCTTATTAGCAATCCTCAATCTCCGGAGTCTGATACGAACTTAATGAGTGAGCATTTGACGCGAGAACATTATCATTTTATTCCAACGTAATCTCAATACATATATAGAAGATATATTCAACGGAAGAAAAGTTGCAACATTTCTATTAGGTGCTTGCAAAAGTTGGTAAGACCAGAAATAGATGATTAGTAATAATCTCCTTTAAGTTGCTTTCAAATGTCGGTCATATTTGATTAGAATTAATCAGATTTGACAATTCCTAGTTCCGAATAAAACATTACATTGAACGCGATTAAAGATAAAACCAGATAAAGTTTATTAAACAAGTTCATCTTTGTCATTGCATGCTTTACCATATTAATCGAGATAAAACTGCTGTAACAACTAAAAGACTGATTTGGACCTATGGAAAGAATATTGTGTCTTCTAATGTTCTGTGAAAAGTGGTTAAAAGATTTAGGAAATACAACGTCTCAAAATTGGCCACAATTTGATCAAAGCTCGAGTTTTCACGCGAAGGACAAAAAGGCAGAACAGTCGTGACTGCGTGATTCGGAAATTTAAAATACTCGCGCCACGTTATTGGCGGCATCACCGAGGCAGCGCTCACACCGCAACACGTCGCAGCATTGGCTTTGTAGCGAACGCGTTCTCCAATTGGCCTTCGCGAGCGTTTATCTACGCTCCGCTCGTCACGAGTTTTGCCTCGCCGTGCTGTCTTGCTCGTAGGCTGCCGCTTCGCGTGCCGCTTACGCGAGACGCGAGCGACCGAGTAAATTGACAATTATCAATGAAAAGTTCCAATTCGTCCCGTTGACTTTACGTCGTCGCGCTCGACGCGCGCTCATTCGTTACGACCCACTATAATCGCGTGCACCGAATCGAGCAACGCAGGCTGTACACGAAAATATCACAAAAAAGATTTTCAAGTACACGAAGAAAATAATAAAGATTGAAATAATACTTTATTGTGTAAAGTCTTTTGTAAAGCTCTGTGAACTGTATCGACACACACACATACACATTCTAATACATAAATTATTATAAAAATAATAAATTTGACGATCTACCGAATATAAAACATAAAAAAACATTCAAGTAATTATAGTAAAGCAAAAAATCAAACATGCATAACATTTTTAAGCATGTATATAGTAATATTAGTCATAATTTATGTATGGTCCATGATCACAAAAATTTTATTGTAATTTTTACTACAATATTTTCTCCATGTATAATTCGACAGCTTGGAATTTACAAATTATTTCATTTGTCATTACATATAAATTGGTCGCACATTGTTCATTTCATTTTCTTGTGCAATTTTATTTATTTATGCAATTAGACACGCGTGCATATATACACACATATATACATATATACATAGTATACATATCCCTGCATATATAGTATACATATCCCAGCAAATAAAAAATATAACTGTTATATAAATAGCATTAACATAAAAATAGCATATAATATAATTGTATTTTAAAATTATTATATTACTCTGTTATTTTATGGTTATAACGGCAACATAATTTAAATATAACATGTTATATGTCAATTGTAATGTTTATATTACATCTGTTATATAACATTTTATATCCAGATGTCATTCCTTAGATAGTTTGTTTTCTCACGCATTTCTTGCACTAAAATATAATGCAATAACATACATAAAAACGATGAGCACGAGACAGAAAAACTTGTATCGTGAAGTCCTCTCTTATAATAAAATGGCACACTTTTTAATTAATGATAATTACTAGCAGAATAATAATTCTTTCCACTGAATTTTTTTTGGACTATAAATTATGTATGAAACTTGGGTTCTTCGTAGCTTTAAAACATCATGTTCGATTAACAAATTTCAAAGAGTAAATATTCAAATATTCGAACATTTAATGTCTGAAACTTCGAGAACTCGAAAGTAAAAGTGTTTTTACTAAAGATATTTAACTCTTTACTAAAGATATTTAAATTGATACTAATTGCACACAATCTTATCGTACAATTAATTCTATTAATGTACGTTTTTACTAACGTCGCTTAAATTTCAACCTAAGTTCAAGTTTTTATCTGAATAGAGTTTAAACAAATTAAGATTTAATCAACGTTGAAACTTTAATTTGAAACGATAAAAACGGGCATTAGAGTGATTTTCTCCAAACTTAGGTTAATCTTAACCAATAATTAACTGGCAGGGTTACTAATTAAAATTGTTATTGGAAAAATTGAAAGAGAGAGAGAGAAAAAAGTAGTTAGAAATTTCGGTTAATTATGCTACCAGTTAATCAGTTAACTTAGGTTAAAATTTTAATTAAAGTTTGAAGAAAATCAACCTAAGAGCTTCGATATTCCGAATCTTCGAATGGAGATAAATAGATAAGCTTTGAACTTCAACTTTAAACATCGAATTGCCGAAGTATTGAATATATTGGATAGTATTACCTCCGGCTTTCACCTTTACTTAAATTATTTCGTCAGTATATTGCTAATAAGCAATTTCAGGTATTACTTTAGTAAAACCGAAACGGCAAGCTATTCCATATCGTCCGCTGATTCTTTGGATCAGAAAGTCGCGTCACGTCATGAAAATTACGATAATGTCGTCTCTCTACACGCGGGTTAGCTCGACACCCTCGATCGCATTTCGCGCGACGCGTCTATCGCATCGTATGAAAAACGTCGACCACGATAATCCGAACGGTATGCAAATAAGTTCACCATGCGTAACGCCTGGCGTCGTGCAAACATGGAAATCCATCGAATATACGTGCAAGATAAGATTACGTATGCTGTTTTGGGGACTGGATTTATTTATTTCCCGTTTCTCGCTCTCAAGCCGAAGGACGCGTTCCTTTTCTTTCTTGCAGCACTGCCATTCGCGAATGCGGGCATGTGTGTGTGTGTGTGAAGGGTAATTAAAGCGACGAATTGAAGTCACAATTTCGTTTGACGTCGATCACGTCGGAAAGTGAATAATGCATGTCGTGGAAAAAAATACTAGGACAATGGTACAACGATGGGATGCTAACGTATCCGAAAGACGTCAACGAGACGTCAACGAGACGTCGTTATAATGATAAACGTGACGAACTGAAGGGTAACGGTCCTATGATTTTCTCTCGAAGCGGAAACGTGAAGAGTGAAGAGTTCTGCGTGAACTCGATCTGCATTAGTAGTCGTTGCTTAAAATCTGTTCCTTTTTGAGTTATTTATATTTCAATTTAGACTCGTATTAATAGTCGTTATTTGAATCTTGTCTCGCATCAAATATACACCTGAATTTATAAATATAATCTGAATTTAGAATTAATATAAATCTGAATTTAGAATTAAATCCGATTTTTTCAGTTAAATCACATATATACGAGACATTATATTTGCAATCGCCATTTCAACTGAAAAACTCACATGTAACTCTAAACCGAAATATCAGTATTTCTCTTGAGACAAGTAACGACTATTAATACGCCTTAGATTTGTAGTCGTTATTTGTAACTTGCCTCAAATAACACAGATTTTAATTTAGAGTTAGATATGAATTTTTCAATCAAATCGCATGAGTACTAATATAATGTCATACATATTATATAGTTCAAATAAAAAACTCGAAATCTACCTCGAAATTCGGATCTGAGTATTTCATGTAGGACAAGTTCCAAGACTATTAATAAGAGTTTTAGAGTCAGATCTGTAAGTTTTTCAATTGAATGTGATACACGTGACATTCTAATTCAATATTCAAAATTTAAGTTCGGAATAATATATATATATATGTACATATGTATATACATATATGTGTCTCAGATGACCTGTATATCCCTTTTAAAATGAAAGTAAATAGTTTTAGCAAAAATTCCGGAAAATTTTCATAACTAAATCATAACTACACTCTACCAAATAGTGATACTTTCAACTTACGTTACTGATGGGCTTTTTGATATTCAAACCAGAAGTTGAGTTTTTTAAACGGAATATAGCACTTTTTATTGCATATTCTGTTTACATATAAAAAAAATAAGAAACTTTTGTCTGAAACATTTTTTTTCTAAAATGCCTCCAGTGACCTTGAAATGATATTGTGTGATGAAGAAATAAACTTTTCCTGCGTTTCTGGGTGAGTTTATTCAAGCTAAGCGTTCAAATTGAGCTAAGTGTACGAACTATGTTTCTTAACAAGTGAATAGGTAAATATATCCGGAATTTGGAGAAAGTTGCTCTCAGAGTAACTTTCTTCAAAGTCTAATTAAATTAGTCAAAAATTAATTTAATCAGTAATGTCACCGAAATGAAAAAATAAGTTTTTTGTTGAAACAAGATATTCCGTGTTCTCTTTCTTTATAAGCTGTATTTAACATTACTTAATCAAGTATTAAGCGTCTTTTTTTCTACTGATATACACAGAATTATTAATTTTTTTTGCTATTATCAGATTGTCACAGATAACAAATTACATCGCTGTTGGCAACTTCACCAGTTAATCATCGATTAAATTAATTGCAATTTGAAGAAAACCGCTCTGAGGATATCTTGGAAGTAGTCCTTGTCAGTTAGTGTTCATACTTATCGACGATCTATCGATAACTCCGGCGAGGAATTCGCCTTGCAATTTCGCAAGCCCCACGTCCGGAACCTGGAAGAGAGCGTTCCGAACGGCAGGCGGAGGTTAGGTTGCATTCCGTTCGGCCGTGCTCTCATGGTGTGGACCGATTAACTGTACAAACTCTTCCCGCACACGCTCGACGGCTCGGTCACAGCCGCCGTGCAGCCACGAGTCACACGGGCCGTATTCGCAGTCACGTCGAGGGGACTATACATCGCGAATGGCGGTTATTCTGTCCCTTTTCTCGCGTCACGTGATTGGCCCGCGAGTTGGCAGGGTCAGGAGAAAGAGGAAAGCGCCGATGAGTGCCGAACGGGTGGGCGAAAACGGCCGAGCTCGAGGGAGGCTCCGCTCGGTCGCAGTGGGAGAAGCGCGCTTCAGTCGCTAGAGAGCGCTTTTCACGGCCGCTACATCTCTCCGCGCAACTCCGCGAGCCGCATATCGCGCACGTATCGTGTACGGCGTCACGTAACTGCGCAATCGTGTGCCCGCACGTTACTTCCCGACCCCGCTGAGCCACGCGCGTGCCTTGACAGTCGCGTGTTTGGCGGGAAACGACGCGAGACGCGTATTTTCGTGTTTATTGACACCAACTCGAGGACTCGCCCCTCTCCCGCCGTGGAACGGCGTACTGCTGCGGGCCGTGTGCAATAGCGCAATAGCATTTTTCCAACGGGATTTCCTCGCGTCGACACGGCGTTATCGCGTCTTCAGTGCTCGCTCGTGTGTGGAATGTGAGACGAGGAGCTGGTGAAAGAGAGATTGATACAGAAATACAGAGGAAAAGACCGACCGGACAGAGTGAATGGAGTGAGTGAGAGTGAGTGAGACAGACAGATCGTCTGGCGTCACGGACAATCTGGACGTTGGACCGCAAAATTCGCGCGGGACACGTAACACGCTCTCTGGCCGTCGCTCGGATATTCACGCGCAAGTGCCGCGGCCGCGCGACGTTGCCGAGTCGTCCGTTCTCCGCCGGCTACGCCGAAGGAATCGTCGTGTTGCGAGGAGAAAGAGAGAGAAAGAGAGCGAGCGAGCGAGCGAGCGAAGCAGCGACTGAACGTGTCGGAGAGAGACAAAGAGAGAGAGACAGTGTGTGTGTGTGTGTGGGTGCGCGCGTGTATTTCTCTCGCGAAAACGCGAGAGGAGCGTCCTCGCGTCGACCTTGACGGATTGTTCCGCGCGATGCAGCGAGCTTGAGTCTGTTTTCACGACCGCTATCTCGCTCTGGCCCATAGTAACCGCGGCCGTCGTACTGTGTTGCCAAGCGTGCAACTGCTGTTAGATCCGTGCACGCGTCGTCCTACAATCCCCGCTTCTCCCGGCGGGAGTAGCGTCACGGAGCATCGTCGTCGCTCACTTCTACTACGAGAAAACGTTATCGCGGGACGAACCGCGTCGGTTATTCGGCCACAGCGAAGTCTGGTACGGCGAGCGGAGTTCCAGTGACGGGATCAACATCATCGTCATCATCATCATCATCGGCGACAGCAGCACCAGCGACGCGGCCATTATTCGAAATTCGGTGGGTCGCGCCACGATTTGCGACGTTGCCACATTCCGTGGTGCGTAGCCGCGATTATTTCAACGAGCGACGGACGGCAACGGGGACGTGATTCCTAGAAGGAATCATCGTCATCCCCGCGTCACGACCGATGCTGGAAGAAGCGGACTCTTATCGTGCAGCGCGAGTCGTGTTTCCTCGATAACGTAGTGAAAGAAAAGGACAGTTCGAGTGGGACAGAGAGAAAGAGAGAAAACGAGGCGACAGGAAGAGATAGTTCGTGGTCTCTTATCCCCTAACCTCTTTCCTTGCTGAGAACGGGTGTGTAGTTCTCGCGTCCCCTCCGCACTCCCATTCGACCTCGCGCGGGAGGAGGAACGACGTAAAGAAAGAGATAAAAAAAGAGAGAGAGAAAGAGAGAGACGTCCGAGCGTGTTTTGCCGTTGTGGAGCGCCGCGGCGGCGATAGAGCGCGACGAAATATGAGCGCACGAGTACTGAACCCGGCGATGATGACGGAAATGAGCAGGAACCTAGGCGGAGGTGGCGGCGGCGGTGGCGGCGGCGGAGGCAGCGGCGGCGGGCGACCAGTGCCGAGCAAGGCCGCACTCGCCCGCGTACGCCGCGATCTCTTCGGTCCGGTGGACCACGTAGCAGCCAGGGCGCTCGCCGAGCGCGAGCTGCGCGCCCAATCTCTGCTGGACGCCGAGCGATGGGGTTTCGACTTTCACCTGGAGATACCGCGGCCGAACTTGCGCTACGAGTGGGAGCTGGTGACGGCGCAGGACGTCGTGCCCGAGCCCTACGCTCTACGCGGCATGCCCTACCTGAGGAAGCACGCCCCCGGCACGCCGCGCAAGTCGCGCGTCGATGACACCGCGCTGGTCGCAACCACGTCGTCGTCGACGGCGACGATAATGACGACGGCGACCAGCACCACCACAATCACCACGAGGATCGTCGAGCAGACGGAGACGACGAGCGCCACATCGGCGGCGACGCTGATGGCGATCGGCGCGGCCGAGAGAACGCCGCCGCAAGAAGCCAGAGTGCCCGAGATCGGCGACGCCACGACGCCCGCTGAGCTTTTGGACGCGAACGCCAAGAGGAAGAGGTGCGCGATCGAACCGACCACTCCTGTATTACCCCTCGCTGCCAGGAAACAATCTGCTATCACAGGTAAGAGCATTGTTTACGTTACTTCGCGTCTTTTGTTTTCTTCAATTGCGCGAATTTGACAGCGCTGCACCACTGCGAGCTTTTGGATCTAATTGTAACGTACTTTCCGATCCATATGCAGAAAAAGCGACATTTTGTTCTGAAAATATCTTTTTTCTTGACATGAAAATCTTAAAATGAGATTATTTAACGTTAAACGAAATTGAGTTACTTGTATCAATATATCTTACATGATTTAACAGAGAAATATTCTTGTTAGTTAAAAATAGTTTTCATGAATGGAAAGCACAAAATATTGTATTAAAAGTGGGATGTTTTTAATTATCGAAAGAAGATATCATTATTAGCAAAATAATCATTGTATTTCTTATGAGACTATTATAATATTCAAATAAAATTATAATATTTTTAAAATTCAAGATCTTTTAAAATTCTTGTAACAAAATTATATATCGTTGCTTATATGTGAAACAATGATTGTTTCGAGTATATTAATTTTAAGCGAATATTAATTTTTTCTATGTAATCAAGATCGAAAAGTGCTAATCAATCAGATTGAAAAGCTCAATGGATAGTTATAGTATCGTAAGTGCGTGATGAGAGCATTCAGTACTATAACAGCACTATGGAAGCTCTTGGGTCTAGTTGGACTATTTTCAAATCGAATCAAGATCTAAAGGTATATAACAATCAAATCCAAAAGCTGGATAAACAGATGTAATATCAGAGCATTCATTGAGAGCATTTAGTATGTTATCAATACCCGAATAAATATTTTCTTTCTTAAGTTTTATGAAAGAAAACCTCTATTTCTATTAGGTAATTTCCATTTGCGGCGTACTATAACGGTCAGTTAGTTAAGTCTTTTAGATCTTTTGGATAGTTGATACTACTTTCACATCTAACCAAGATTTAAAAGCGCGAAACATTCAGTCTCAAAAGCTCAATAAATAGTTGTAATCCCGTATTAATAATCGTCATTTAACATCGTCATTTAATAATCGTCATTTAACACTTGCCTCGCGTGAGGTATTCAGATTTGAATTTCGAATTATTAGATTGATGCAAATGAGATTGTTTTTCAAATAAAATGGAAAACTGTGATAAATAGATAATAAGTAAAAGCGTGGAAATTTAAATTGTGAAATATACAGACTATAAATGGTGTGGTTTTAAGAAAAATATAAGTATAAGAATATATATAAAAGTATTAGAAAAAAGATTTAACACATAAAGCGTGGACAGATGAATGCGTGGTTGAGATAATGTTTGGTAAACCAAGTCTCCTTCTTGGCAAAATAGCTGAAGTAATAAATTTATCTAATAAAATGAAAAACAAAATTATCCAATTTCACAGAATTAATATATAATTCTTATGAACTTTCTATAATAAATCATTAATTATAATCCGCAAACAAATTGACCAATTATAATCAGTTATTTTAAAAAATAGTCGACTGTGGTTAGTCAACTTGCTTATGGCTTATAATTAATAGCTTATAAAAGGCCCATTACGAGTGAAAATCGAATTAATAACATTGTTTCGACATATTTCTTAAACATCTAATGAAGACTTTATTTTTCTTCTAATGCCTAAACTTCGTACGAGAATTTAATAAGAGACAAATCTTTTATATATATCGACTTAATAGTAGTAAATTTTTTATTGAATCACAATTTTAGAAATATAACACATATGACATATATGACTCATTCGATAAAATCAAATTTAACTTTAAATTCATACCTAAATATTTCACGTGAAAGAGGCAAGTTTGAAGTATCGACTATTAACACCTACAATATCACTATTAGCTCTACATATAATATATTAGATACTCCCAATGAAACGATAGTCGACAATCACGACCGCAATAGGTCATTGTTCCCGTCATTTTCAACCATCGTGTTATCGAACGTGTTGAACGTGGGTGTTGAACAACACGGATATCACTGTGTTACCCGTCACGTGATCTCAATCTAACGATGTTACACTGGGAAAATATGAAAAGTAAAATGTATTTATAATAAAATACTCGTAACGTACTTATTGAATCTAAATTATCTTATTTAAATAGAGTAAACAATTGTTTTCATGAAACATTACACGTAGAAAAATACTACATTCAAGTATATGTTACTTGTTTCAAATATTTCACAAGTTTATATATCTGCAAATCAATCATAAGATGATTTATAAGTATAAAATTTGTTTAAAATATTAAATAGATTTAGTATTACTATCAAGAATGTTCAAACAAAAATTCGGTTTACTTACTTACAATCGAACCAAACCTTTTTCCTTGATAAAGTTTTACGATATTCTTATGAAGAGACTAAAATTTTTTTTTTATGATAACGAATTTTCTCAAGGTTTATGTAATGAATATATTTCACGACTATTATCATTTATTATCATAAAATATTCTTTGTTTAAGATAATCATTCCTTAAAAAAGGGGGGAGTAAACTGAGTATAATCGCATTTCTCAACAGTAGTATATTTTTTTGTGTTTATGGATTCTAAGAAAATATTCTCATTTATTCCATTATATTCATATTATTATATTATAGTATATTATTCAATTAGATTCTCATCTAAAGGAAATTTTCTCAATGTAAAAACACGCACACAAGTGTACGCAAATATGTTTCAGTATATACCTATAAGAAGGGGACTTGATTACCTCAACTACGCTCATCTATCCGCTCATATATGTTAAATCTTTTTTTCTACCTCTCTATATGCTTATATCTTTTTTTCTTATACCTACCTATATTTCTTATATTCTCTTAAAGTGAATCAGTGAATAATCACTGATATCAGTTATAAGTATAGCAGTTTCAGTTTTATACTTATAACTGCAAATCAATGGTCAGGTTCAGCAGAGAAAACCGCTCCGTAATGAACACGTCTGATTGGTACGTCTGTCCGTACCTATCAAAGGTTTAAAAGAATATTCCAATCATGAACATTCGCTATAGAGCGGTAGCGGAGCATTTTCTCTGCTGAACGTAACCAATATATATTCACTGCTTTTAATGATGTTTCACTGATTTATTAAGAGAGTGTCTATGTACCATCGAATAAATATTTATTTCTTTTTATACATTTTCTCCTGAGAAGGAGGTTGCTGAGAGAGAAATTTTACAAAAAAGGATCCTCGTTATCGGGCGTTTCTATTTCCATTAGATAAATCCCATTTGTTGTGTGTGTGCGTATGTGTATGTGTATGGCATCGCGCTAGGCATCGACGCGTTGCCGCCGGCTTCTCCTCGATTATATAAATGCGTGCAAACGGGCAATGTTTGTTTTTCGGAGTTGTTTGATCGCGCGCACGCGCTGCGTACGAAATTATAATACGCCACGGCTGCGACGTTATCGGCGGCGACGACGAGCGACGACGATGATGATTCGGCCGCGATGAAACGACGCGTATCGCGCGATTCGCAACGACGACAACGATGTCGTGGTGATGATGGTGGTGGAGGTGTTCCACGCAATCGTGAAGCGCGCAACGCATCGTGCCGCTTTTCGTGCCATCTTTAATCCAACTCATCCACGTATCGGTTGGCTCGCGGAGGCAAGTCTCAGGCATACTAAAAAGTTTGTTTACATCTACTGCATTGCATATGCACGAGAGCCATATGAATCGCCTCTCGTGGTCGGGCTGGAAATGATTTGCATTGTTTTCATACTGGAAAGTATTTTATTCGTCGCGCTCACGAGGAATCGCATTGTCCGTGTGTTTACCTTACAATCGGCCATTCGACCATCCGTCTTGCGCGACCTTGTTTACGGGAAAATTAATTTCCCTATCAATTTGGGATCTGAGATTTTATGTTCTCCCAAAAACTTAGCGAGACACACTAATGTCCCTCGATTTAGGGCGTCCACACACAACTTCACATAACAGTAACGTAAGACATACCGTAAGAATTGACCAATCACGTTGAGAATTGTCTAATCGTAAGGTCGCCATTTTGATGAATACTCAATCGTAATTGGCCAATTCTTACGGTACGTCTTACGTTACGGTTACGGAAATTTGTGTGTGGAAACCCTTAGCGCCAAACATAAATTTTGTTGTTAAAACTAGGTTATATTAATATATTTAATAAAGTGAAAGTAAAAAAAATATACTTTCAAAAAACAAAATTGTTAGCCAAAGAACCTAAAATATTATTATTGCCTGTTAATAAACAATTATATAGCAAAATATAAATATAAAAACATAAATTGTTATGCAACTGTCGTAATTGTTACAAAAAATATAATATAATATAGTAAATGATGAATGTAGCATTAGGTCAGTCATTTTCAGTGAAATCGTTCAATAAGGATAATATAACGAAAGACAATCGTGTCGTAAGAAAAGACGATATTTCTGCGAAAGAAGGAGAAAGAGAAATACTGCGACTCCACGAAAATATAAATTAACGTGCGTTTGTCTCAGATGCAAATCGTAATTTTCGTACGTACTATTTATTGTGCGAAAAATGATCATACATCGAGAGAGGGAGAGAAAGAGATAGGCAGCCGGACGACATTTGGCCGTTTATCGTGCGATTTATCGCGGTTAATTTGCTCGTCTGATTTACGCGGAAAATGCGTATCCTAGGTCAGTCCGATTGGCTCGCAGAAGGAAAGATCGCCGCAATTCGCTCGTGAAACGACTAATACACGGGACTTAAACTTTTCGCTACCAGCAGGACACATATGTTTTTCCTATAATAGTCTTATATAATAGCTTTAATAATATTTATATTCAATTGAGTGCTTTCTTGACATTCAAAACACTCAGCTATCACTCTGATAATTATCGTTGAGACAAATATCTTTTCCAAAAATTCCAATGAGACATTAGTGTGCCGACCCTATCTCTTTGGCATCAAACATATAACACTTTTAATTACTTTTAAACCGCGTTATATTTAATAAAGCGAAAATAAAAAGATTCATCTTAAATAAAAAAAATGTTAGCGAAAGGGTTAAACTTT